TCTATATAGACATAAGGCAAGATAGTAAAAATTAAATCTATTTTGAAATAGTAGGAGATTTATATTAGACAATAAATTGGATTGGGTCCTCTTTTGGGAGAAAAAACAACAAGCTAAAGTAATATTATAAATTGCTATTATAAATACAAACTAATCCTAAAAGTTTAAAGATATTAATGTTTTTTAACATCCATGAAAGTAAAAGAAAATGTCTTTGATCCTTTTCAAAGGCTTTCAGTAAAGTGAGGGGTGAAACAATTTTTATAAAATTTATCTTTTTTACTACATTTAAAATTTTTAATTTCAGACTCAAAAACACCATTAAAAATTAAAAGAAAAATTGCAAGGAGGAAAAGGACTTGTAAAATATGAAACAATACATTAATGGGTTACATAATGAAAATCTGCTAGAGGGTTAGTTATGGTTGGTTCCTGACTCAATGGTATATAACAACAATCACATCAGTTCTGACTCAAGGTAAGCTTTCAGCAGGTCTCCTCACTGTAAATCTTTGTGGGTGCACCTTTCTCCATTGGGCTGTGCTGCTAGATTGAAACCTTATTACGCTTTCAGTTAGCAGCCCAAATGTAGCTTACAGTTCCTGGCAGTTCGTTCTCTCTCACGTTCTCCAAGTTGAGACGGGCTCATAGCTGCCCTGAAGTGAGTTTTCTGAGGAGATTGCTCATGTTTTTTACGTGGAACCACGGATGGATTCCAACCCGGCTGAAAGACACAGCCTTTGGGTTGGAAGTACAGGTCCCTGTGGAATACTCCACTAGCGCTCCCTTTTCTGCTACTCAGCAGACTTACTTACTTTAAGAAAGTAATAATTCCTCAATTAGAGCAGGTCCTGTAAGCGTATGGCTTTTTCTACTAAAGTTTTGAATTTATAATCAGGATTAATTTTCCATTTAAAGATCAAAATGAGAGCTTTGAGGACAGAGGATTATATTCTTTTTTTTTCAATTTGTTGATTTATTTGGGAGGCTCATACTGATGTATCTATAACCAGGTGAGACAAGGGTTACCTAGAACCGAGGAGCAGGAAGCACGTGGGTGGCAGCCTCCGTTGTTGACCGAGCAGATGTCTATGAGTGTGCACACTCTTCCATTGCCCTGGTATCCTGGTCAGAACAAGAACAGAGGCCGTGAGGGACAAAGGGGCAGGGTGCAAAGGACAACCAACCTGAGAAGCAAGCGACATGAACCAAGCAAAGCAGCTATATTCTTCACCCAAAAAGAAAATGGAAAGGTAAAACATCAGAAACAAATAAAAGCCCCTACTGAGGAACAAGAACTCAAAAGTTCTGGGTTGTTTCTTAAAAATAAAACAAAACAAAACAAATAAAGAAAAAAAAACACCACACCATACAACAGAGAGATAAAACTATGGATGGACTTAGAAAGTGATCACCCTAAGGAACTTGACAATTTTTAATTACAGGGACTCTGATATTCTTAGAGCTAAATTACTGTAGAAGTCCAAAGTACTGTTGTTTCATATTATAAAAATATACAAGGATTCTTTTTATACTTTAGAACTCTGTGAACTTCTTGGATAGTAGGTTGACATTAAAGAAGATCAGTACTTCATTCCATATAAGAAAGGAAATGAACATGGTGTATATGCCTACTGGTATGCTTTTTAATTAATAAGCTTTATATGAAAAGCATTTTCAAAGGTACACTATACTAATAAATTATTTTTAGGAATAATATAGCACTAAATCAATGAGCACATGGAAAATTTTTCAAAATTTGCCTTCTCTCAGTAGGATATTTCTAATTTTAGAAAGGTTATTGTTTCCCATTAATATGAAAATGTTTTTAAGCCTTATTTATGCTATAGTTATACTAATGTAGCCAGAATCCATAAATTAATTTTACAAAATTAATA